AGTATCTACGTTACACATCAGGAAACAAAAAACCACCAAAGCAAACAGCCCGTGCATCGGCATTTAAGCCTTGATCGAATTACTATACTTCACGATAAGCTAACCTGAGAAGGCTAGAACCTGAAAGCGCAAAGTAACATTTGCGCTTTTGCAGCTGAGGATGATGGTTCGGTAAAATCATCGGAAACTGTGAATGCATCGCCTGTGAAAATTTGAAAATGTAACACTGATTTTTGTTGTTTGACTTGTAAATTAATATATGTTCGTGGTATTATTGTATCTCAATTAATTGATAGTTTCTCACATTTTTCCCCTTACGTTCGCTTTGTTCAGCAGTATTCATATTTCACAGCGTAATTTTTACAATATTACTTCTCTAAACGGTAGGACTACATTCTTCGGCGCACGCATACACTTTCTACTGTATCCAGTGTTCTCAACTTGGGTTGACCTGTAGTATAGTAGCGACTTCACCACTTAGCCGCTAATGAGTAAAATTCATGAAGAAAATACCTTTCAACATTCTAAAGTTTCATAAATATTTTAAAGGTTCGAAATGATATTTGTTCAAAGGTGACTCATAATTTTTCAAAACGTGTGTATTAACTCTTTCATAAACACACTTCACCAGGTAAATTACAGGTTAGCAACGTCATTATGACGCTGCTAGTGACGCTGATTTAAATTTTGAGGGCACTTATGACCATAACTTTGAAGTACTTTCTCAGAACAAAATATGTGGATGTGTTCCAAAAGTAGTTGATCCCAATACCCTAAAAGAATTAAAAGAAGAAAGATATATTACCTTGTCTGATTTGCAAGCTAAAGAATATGACATTGAATTGCTCTTAGGAGCAGATGCCATCGGGGACATTATTACTGGCAGTTCTCTGAAACTGAACTCTGGTATAACTGTAGTTGGGACTAAATTCGGATACACTGTGATTGGTAAAGTAAACAGCTTATCTAAAGAATCTACTTCAGCTACTATTCCAGCATTACTACAAAAAAATTTGTGCAATGTAGTTTCGTTGCATTGTGCTAATCTTAGCGTAACTGAACTCTGGAATTTAGATGCCATTGGCATAACAGATCCAACTGAAGATGTTAAACGTAAACTTGCTCATTCTGACACCGTTAAGCAATTTATTGAGAATTTAAATGTTCTTCCTGATGGCCGATACGAATTGCCACTACCCTTTAAATCTGAAATTCTGTTACCTAACAATATGTCTATGACTTTTAAAAGGCATCAAAGAATGTGTCAACGAATTAATGAGGAAAATCAGTTAGATGACTATAAGGTAGTTTTTAAGCAATGGGAAGACCTAAAAATAATAGAAAAGGTTCCTGAAACTGAAATTGATAATTTGAGTTATTATTTGCCCCATAGACCTGTTATAAAGCATACTAGCCAGACAATGAAGGTAAGGCCGGTTCGACGCTTTCAACCCGAGAGAGAAATCAACCGTCCCTAAATGATTGTTTAAATAGAGGGCCGAACTTAATTGAACTCATACCTGATATAATTGACAGGTTTAGATTGTATTCTGTTGGTTTATCATCGGACATAGAAAAAGCATTTCTTCAGCTGAGTATTATCCCAGAACATAGATATTATTTGAGGTTTTTTCTTCCAACTCTTGAAGAACCTATGATTTACAGACACTGCAGAGTGGTGTTCGGCGTTTGTTCGTCTCCGTTCCAACTCTCTGCATCGATAGAGCATCTCTTGGATAATTCCCCTGCCGAGTTTGACGATGTGACTCAAAAATTAAAGCATTCGTTTTATGTTGACCAATTGTGTCACTGGGGTTCAAGATATCAAAAAGCAAGAACATTTTATAGTTAAGGCTACAGAAGTAACGGCTCGGGGATGTTTTAACCTACGGAGTTGGGAAAGTAATGTTCCAGGTCATTGTATTTCCCGTAGTTCAGGTATAACTTCTCTTCTTGGAATCTTATGGAATTTGGATAACGATACATTGAAATGTAATCTTAATTATTCAATGGATAATGAGATAAGTAAACGTAATATTTTGGCTATGGTACATAAAATTTTTGATCCGCAGGGTTTTTTGAGTCCAACTACCTTGTTACCTAAGTTGCTATTACAAGAAGCTTGGACTATGAAATTAAAATAGGATGATCCCTTGCCAGAGAACATTCAGAAAATTTTTCAGAAGTGGCAGAATGAAATTAAATATCTTGAGAAAATTAGTATTCCACGATATGTAGATATAAATGAGAATTTAGAGCTGCATCTATTCGTTGATGCATGTAAGAGCTCCTATGGTGCATGTATTTACATTAGAAATGTGACGCCCGTGGGAGTCAAAATTCGATTGATCAGAGCCAAATCCAGGGTAGCGCCGTTAAAATCTCTGACAATACCTCGGTTAGAATTGATGGCCTGTTGCATTGGCGCGAGACTGGTTCACTCAGTATACGTCGCCTTGGATTTGCCTGATTTGAAAATTATTGCATGGAGTGATTCTATGGTAGCACTCTGGTGGATTAAGAACCGTGGTGATTGGTCAGTTTTCGTTGCGAATAGGGTAAAAGAGATAAACAGTCTGATTTCTTCTCAGTGTTGGCGCCATGTTCCAGGTGATTTAAACCCGGCAGATATACTTTCAAGAGGCAGTTCACCACGTTCATTTTTAGATTCTCTTTGGTGGGAGGGTCCGTCCTGGCTCCTGGAACCTAATAATAACTGGCTACCAGACCGTTTAGCTTACGAGATCTCTGAGGTAGAACGAGAAAAAAGGAAGGTTAGATTGTGTAACCTTAATTCATTTGAAGAGGAAATACCTTGGTATGCAATTAGGTTTTCGAATTTTCAATCCATCATTCGATTAGTCACATGAATATTGCGGTTTGTGAAAAACGCAAAAAGTAAACGTGCATTTCTAGAGACTGGAGATTTAACCGTTCATGAGATGGAATATGCAGAAAAAACTCTTGTAAAATTTGTACAAAATAAGTATTTTCCCTCTGCCGACTCTATTCGCAATATGAGTGTCATCTCAGATAAAGAGGGTATAAAAAGGGTGAAAACGCGCATTACAGAGCGATTAGACGACCCTGAATTTATTTGTCCAATTATTTTACCAGACCGGTGTATTTTCACCCAGCGTCTGATAGAATATTATGATTTACAAAATTCTCACGCTGGAACCCAAATATTACTTGGTATATTAAGGGAGAGATTTTGGATAGTGAGAGGCAGAAAAGCGGTCAGGAAAGTTGTAAAAAATTGTGTAAGATGCAATCGATACAAGGCTAAGGCTCCCGGTTGCGAGCCGGTGTCGCTACCAGGCGAACGTGTCAATGACGCAGCGGTGTTCGAGGTGGTAGGAGTTGATTTGGCAGGAACCTTGTATGTGAAGGGAGGTGAAAAAGTTTGGATTGTTTTGTTCACATGTGCAATATATAGAACCGTTCATTTGGAACTGACTTCCTCATTTTCTACCGACGCATTCTTGTTGTCATTGAGACGATTCGTAGCCAGAAGGGGGAGGCCGAGAATAATTTATTCCGACAACGGAACTAATTTCAGAGGAGCGCAAAGAGAACTTAGTAACATTGATTGGGAACAAATTTTGAGGCAAACGGCTATACAACGAGGAATTTTAATCCTCCCACAGCCGCTTGGTGGGGTGGCTGGTGGGAGAGGTTAGTTCGTGTAGTAAAGGAACTGTTGAGAAGGACACTCGGTAACGCGGTTCTTACAACCGAGGAGTTGTACACAGTATTGTCCGACTACGAGTCAATAATTAACTCTAGACCTCTTACCTATGTGTCGGAAAATCCGGATGACTTAATCCCACTTTCCCCAGCCATGTTTCATCGAGAATCGTAGCTTAAGTGTTCCTGATGTAGATTTCTGCGATTCGAAAGGTCTTCGAAAAAGGGCTAGACATCGCCAAAAACTACTTAATGATTTAAGGTGTAGATTTAGGAAAGAATATTTAGGCCTTCTGGTCCAAAATAAGAAGAATCCATCGTCAGAGCTACGGTTGGGTGAAATTGTCCTAATAGGAGATGACATCAAAAAACGGATGCATTGGCCTTTAGCTAAGGTCATTCAACTAATTCCTGGGAAAGATGAGAAGGTGAGAACTGTAGAACTGAAGACTCAAGCTGGTACGCTGCTTCGTCCCATTCAGCGAGTCTTTCCATTGGAAGTGCAGTTAACGGACACACCCACTGATTCCATAAACGATAACTCTTTTACTAATCCTATTTCTTCTATTTCTACTGATGAGCATTCAGATTCTAATGATTCTTCAAATGACTCTAGTAACATCCTGCAAGGTGCTAAAGTGTCAAGATTTGAACATGGGATCAAGGTGCCTCAGAAATTGCATCTCTTCGACCAGGTACTGTATGTCTTTGAGCCAACCTGAAGTCGACTCAAAGAGGGGGAGAATGTTGGAGATGGCGGCTGCAAACAGACGATTACATAACGGCTCGGCGAAGGTCAACAGAAGGAGCGCCGCATCTGATTGGACTATTTTTTATTAATATTATTTTTTTCCTTAACTGCGAACTAAGCGGGGAAATTCCCTTTTCACTCAGTTATATGTATGCACTTAATAGAGTAATGTAACGTTTTCAGCTTGTGTGAGATATCCATATTAAATCTTTATATTAATAATCCCTGCTGTGATTATTTAATTTGTAACCAGCACGTTGTAGCCCTGGGAGTTGCAACAGATTCATTAAATGTTTTTCTCCAAAATAGGAGTATTGTTTCACTGAAGTTTAGTTTCATGGGGTACTTTTCATTTAATGAGAATATTGCATTTATGGACATACATCTTATGTAAAATTATTGAAAATACATCTTATGTATTTTCAATTCTTTTTTAATTCTGCGAGTATGACAAGCCTTTAGCATTTAATTCATTTTGAAAATCAAGTGGTTGTATTTATTTTCGCATGCTTGGCAACACAACAAAGTGCTCCTTTTTACTCGCGCTCTTTGTGTAAGTTTTGTTTCGGTTTCATTCAGCGATTCTTGTATTGCATGTGCGAAAAGACTATTATAATATACTTTCAAAGATATTTTACACGTAATGATTGCTGTTATTTAGAAAAATATTAAGTTTTTATCATTAACATGAATAATACTTTACGTGATCTATAAAGGAAAGTTATCAACATTGTGATCTGATTGGTACTGATACTGACTCAGGTAGATTTGAGAATTATTGCTTGAAAGTGATTATTAAGTATATTGTATGTAACTTTATTGCATCGAATACTTAACGATTTATTGCATCGAATACTTAACGATTTAAAATCTCTCCAATTGTTTCATTTTGTATACGTTTAAGTGTTTTATGCGTTGTCGTGTGAGAAATGGTATTAACTTTATTTTTATTTTAAAATATACCTCAAATTTGCCACATTCAAATTTAAGTAACTTCTGGTATGCTAAATCGCTTATCTGATCTGGGTAAAAGTTTAGTTTAGGGTACCCCTTGCCAAAACTTGATGATTTTTGGCGGTACATGAATACCGATTTTGTGCAATGCTTTGACTCGTTGTTTTGGCTTGCGAAGCGGCCAAAAATCGCCGCTACACAAAGCCAAAATAGCGGCCAAAAATCGCCGCTACACAAAGCCAAAATAACAAGACAAACAATTGCACAAACTCGGTATCCATGTATACATCGACTTATTTTCACTTAAAAAAAAAAAAACCCCGAATTGCACAAAAATGGCATTGCGCACTCCTTTGACTTTATCCATGTACACCTCGACCTATTTTCACTTTAAAAAAAATCCTCGAATTGCGCAAAAATGTCATTGCGCACTCTTAACTTTATCCATGTACACGTCGACCTATTTTCACTTAAAAAAAGTATCCCAGAATTGCACAAACTGGCATTGCGCACTCCCTTTACTTTGTCCATGAACACATCGATATATTTTCACTTAAAAAGTCAAAGGAGCACCAATGTCTACAATATAGGCAAACAAAAAATACATAACCTCAATAAAATACATTTTAACCAAACAATAAAATAACATAAAAAAGAAAAAACATGTTATACATTTAAGCACTACCAAAAGCAAATATTCACTTACCATGACTTTCGAATTCGCTTCGTAGACCCAGAGCCACGTAAAAATCAAAATATAAATCATACTCAAATGACTTTTTTCGAAACAGGTACTCTTTTTGATCGAACGCTTCACATAGTGACCATCTGAACCTTTCTTCCTACAAACCCATTCAAATCCATCTAAACGGTTTTAACACGCACCACAAAAATGCTTACAAAATATCCCATGATTCTAAATTTCCCATTTAAATGGTCATCAAAATTAGCAAACCACTGCTGGTGTAAGGAATACAGTTCAAATGACTCTTGAAAAATAATAAAATGTATAGAATTCTAGTTTTATTAAGAATGCTGCTACCGAAGAAAATTTGATTACTATTGAAGGTTATTTGTATTGTGAAATATATTATGAAAAAGACTGGTATTTGTTTCAACGTAAAATGCTTTAAGCTGTATGCAAGTTACTTGAAAAAGATATATATATTTTACTGAAAACTTTTTGTAAAATGGATGTACTAAAGGTCATGCATTCATTAATTTATTACATGAGCATGGCTCTTACCGAAATACATCAGTCAACAAGCAGAGTACCATATAAGTATAATGTAAACGTAAGTATAAGAATACTAACTTTTATTTTTTAAATGAATTTTTACTTCCCTTTATATTTAATATATTGTTTTCTGTGCTAACTTGAATTTAATACAAATTTATTTTCGTATATCACGTTTAACCGGTTAGTTTGACATCTACGTGCTTATTATCTGTGAATTTTTACTACCATATGCTTAATATATTGTTTTGTATGCTAACTTGAATTTACATACACTAAAAATCACTTTTACAAAATGTAACATTTACGGCTCGGCTCGCGAGCTTGCCGAGTAAAAATGCAACGGCCCAATGGGTTCTTTCCAGAAGCGCCAATGAAAACGGATGAAAACCCCAAAAGTCTTTTTTTACATATATCACTAAAAATTTTGCAAGTATCTGAAACATTTTGCTTTTTGCTTGTAATTTTTTATCTTTCGTACAGTGCTGATATCCAGAGGTTGTGTTGTTATAGACATGGTAAATTTAAAAGTATAGTTTAGGGTACCCCTAGGCAATTTTCGGTGGTACATGGATACCAATTTTGTGCAATTCTTTGACTCGTTATTTTGGCTTGCGAAGCGCGCCACTACACAAAGCCAAAATAACAAGACAAACAATTGCAGAAAGTCGGTATCCATGTACACATCGACTTATTTTCACTTAAAAAAAAATCCCCAATTTGCACAAAAATGGCATTGCGCAATCCTTTGACTTTATCCATGTACATGTCGACCTATTTTCACTTATAAAAAAATTCCTGAATTGCACAAAAATGGCATTGCGCACTCTTTTAACTTTATACATGTACACTTCGACCTATTTTCACTTAAAATAAAATCCCAGAATTTAACAAACTTGCATTTTGCCCTCCCTTTACTTTGTCCATGTACACATCATTATATTTTCACTTAAAATGTTAAAGGAGCACCAAATTCTACAATATAGGCAAACAAAAAGGTACATAATCTCAATAAAATACATTTTAAACCAAACAATAAAGTAACATAAAAAAGGAAAAACGTTATATATTTAAGCACTACCAGAAGTAAATATTCACTTACCATGATTTTCGAGTTCGCTTCGTACACCCAGAGCCATGTAAAAATCAAAATATCAATCGTACTCAAATGACTTTTTTCAAACCAGGTACTCTTTCTGATCGAACGCTTCACATAGTGACCATCTGAACCTTTCTTCCTGCAAACCCAATTCAAATCCATCTAAAAGATTTTTACTTTCGGCTAGATGTCTATCCTTCCTACACACAGGACACTTATAATGGCTACTAAGTAAACCTTCATTTACACACCAGTCAATTAAATCTCTTTTCTCCTTTCGCCCCAAATCATACAGAGACTTCAAATTAATCTTACTACATTTGACCATTTTACCGTCTAAAGAATCAAACCAACACACACCACAAAAATGTTTACAAAACATCCCATGATTCAAAATTTCCCAGAATCATGCACCCGAATACCTCACAGTAGGGTTTCCATAACATTCAACTACTCAGGCTATGATAAATAAAACAACTTGGTGATAAATCAAACAACAGCTTCACCATAATACAAGGGGTACCTTAAAGTCTACTCTACCCTTGAAAGATTATCTACCGATTTCATTTTATACTTCGATGTGTGAATTCTTAAGGTAGTGTCCGTGATTTTCAGAAAGAGTACACATTCGAAGATGCCATATTTGCTTTCTCTTTTGCTTGGAAAACGTAAGTAACAAGTTGAGTGATGAAATTCTCTTGGTTTTAAAAGATATCTTGCACCTGTGGCATAGCCGACATCTTTAGTGTTATGTTCCTTTTCGGTATTAGTGAATAAAAGTTCCAAGCTTGGTTGCAATGCTCATGTATGTCAAGTTGGAATGTTTATCTATGTCAGAATGTTGTATTATGAAGCTTCATTGTAAGAACTTTTTGGAGCAATGAATTTTTTAAACTGTGGTAGCAATTTTGTTAGCAGATGGACCTTATGCATATGCTATCACACTATGAAATTATAACTTTTCTACAATAACATGTATGGTAACTTTAAAATGTTGTATATATATATATATATATATATATATATAAAAATTGTAGTAAGCTCGCCTAAAAGTTACCAAGAGCTGCTGCTCCAAAAGGTTTAACACGTTTTCAAAAAATTAATACACATGAAAATCAAATCATTAGACATGTAAAACATTAATAAAATTAAAAACAGAAAAAGTTAAAAAGTAAGTGGAAAATGGTAAATTAGCCCAATTCGACTTCCAAACAGGCTTTTCAAGGAAAATTTCATTTATTTGAACGTTGAATCAAGCTAACCCCATTACGCGTTTCGCCGAAACAGACAATTGAAACTTTTTCGCTAAAAATTTTTTTTAAATTTAGACAAAGTGTCTTGGAAATTTTAATAGTCTCAATTCTCTGTTCCAATTTCCCGACGCGTCCGCACAGAATGACACATTAAGGTGTTAAAATATGTTAATCAAAACCTAAACTTCCTAAATCTAGACTAAAATTAAAATCAAAAACGAAAATAAATAGCGATGAGCTATTAGTCCTAAAAATACAAAAACATACGGGCTGGGCCTGCAAGCTTAAAGATTAACAATTTAATTTTTAAATAATAGATTTTAGAAAACTGTAATGAAAACCTGTAATTAATATAAAATAAAACAAAAATTAAGAAGAGAACAAACTCAGTGGGTCTTGCTAAGACCAAGAAAAAGTTGTAACAAAAGAAACAAAAACTGACCTTTGGCGATGCAAAGCTGTCCCTCTTAAAACTTGTTGAAAAATGGCTGCTATACTTCTAGTGTCTTCATTTGGATGACGTACGTAGGGGGGAGCGAAGTGCTGTGGGCGTTTAGCCAATGCGAAGAGATTTTCGTTATCTGCAACTCGTCTCCTATTATCGAAGGGGGCCGGAAACCTCGGAAACCGTGTAAAGATCTCAAAAATGGCGCTTGGCTTGTAGTAGGATGGAAAAAAATTTTTCGAAGTGAAAATGGCTAATTCAGCTAAAACTATAAAAACTTGGCCATTAAAGCAAGAGAAAAAGGAAAAAACAGTCATTTGTTAAAAAAGTCGTAATTCTTCAAGCTAGCGGGCTATCAAGCTACTATGAAAAATGAAAAAAGCCCGATTTGTTAATAAAAGCAGTAAAATTGGCCATTACAGAAATTTAAAATTATGTACACAATAGTATTTAAGATTATGTATACAATAGTATTTAAGATTAAAGTGCCAAAATTTTTTTGGAGGAAAGAGAATGAATAAACAAGAATTATCTGTACATTTTTACAATAGATTCTCTGAATTAGTCATCCTTCTTAAACCGTCCGTAGCTTTAGGTATAAAAAATCATTATCTAATTCAAAAAATCTAAAAATAGGTAAGGCTAATGCCAGCTTTGGTAAGGGAATTTTTAATTATTTTATGTGGTATTTGGTTACTTTTTAAAATAGTTACGAAGTATAGTATTTCTTCTTGTAAGTGTTCCGCAGTATTGCAAATTCTTTTTATTCTAAGTAGCTGTGAATAAATTGTGTTGATTATGACTCTTTTGGAAATATTTGAATTCCAGTTAGTTAATTTAAGTGTGGAAAAATTAAATTCTCTTCTTTTGTCATAAACTTTAATAAAATGGTAATCTATAATATGTAAATCAAGGTAGACTACATTATGCTGTTCTGTATTGGTTTTATTAAGTTTTAAGCAAGCAGGGTAGATATTAGCGATTTCTATTTTGTTGTAGTTATTAAACGCAATGACATCATCAATATATCTATAGATGTGTTGGAAAAAAAAACTTTCTTCCGTACTGAGTGAACGTACATAGGTCAGTTCTTTAGTAAACAGGAATAATTCACAAACTGAAGTTGAAAAATTCCCGCCCATAGGTATTCCCTGAACTTGTTTATAAATGTAATTGTCAAATTGAATAAAATTATTGAAGAGTACGCTGGTAAGGAATAGCTGCCATTTTTCGTTGCTGAGAATGGTAGAAATTTGTGGAAATAAATCTGGAAGAGCAAGTAAACTTGTAAAAATTTCTTCGAGTGGTAGAGATGTATAAAGGTTTTCAAAGTCGTAGCATCAGTTCAAAATGTACAATTTTTATATTTTACTTATTTTGCAGCATATTGCGCAAGATGTTTTCTAGACCAAAATTGGTTTTTTAAAAATTGTTATTACTGCTTTGCTTGATAAATTATATATAATATATATATATATATATACTTCTGAAATTAAAAGTTCTGTGTATGTGCTTTAATTTTTGATTTTCAATATTATTTACTTAATTGTAATCAATGGATAAAAGAATATGATCAGTGGACTTTGCATGCTGCAATTTCAACATCACTAAACATGATCGTATCACTAAACATGAATGATTAAATTCTAGAAATATAGATATTAAATATTCTGAAATTGAAGTCCCATTGCTGCTACTTAAGAAAGATTATTGCTTTGATTTAGCTGCCTGTGGAGTGAGATTTCTATTTTCTTTTTTCTTGAGAACAATTGCTATCTTCTGATTATTCATACCTCCAAAAAATTTTTGGCAACTCATTGACAACAGTGTTAATTAGTGAAAAATATTTGGGTACTTTTCCGTTTTGCCGGCGCAAGCGATAAAGTCGCCAATAATGGTACAACCGATGCCAAACGGAATATTCTCGCTGGTAACCTTTTAAGCCTCATTTTCAAAACAAGTCGCAGCTTTTTCTTATCAGATTGATTGTTTCTTTCAATACTGGCATATAATTACATAGAATTTTTATCAGATAGTTCAGTTTTATGTCTAAGGCCATTTTCGGTAATTAAGTCAATCAGGATGCAATCACAGCGCTTAACCCGAAGCCGAAAATATAGAAAAGGTAAAGTCAAGGGTTAAATTCATCAATTCTAACGAGAATGCATTAGCGAAGTAAAGCACTGCAGTTTTACATAATTTTTCTGAGTAAGCTATTAGTACAAATTGAAATATTTCTTGCATTTAAACTTGTGTTCCAAATTAAGATTTAATTGAAATTAATGTAGATAATTACTGAGAGCATTAGATTTTTGTAGAGTAGTTTACGTGAGATGAGATCGCTTGGTGTCACGTGATATAAACCGGCGAATCAGGATGTTGAACCATGAAAGCATAGTAAATTCTTAAATTAATGTCTTTTTACAAATTTATTGTCTTTATTTATTGGCTTTTTATAAAATTTTAAGCGATATTAAAATGTTTATGCCTTCAAAAAAGGAATTCTTAGAACTAACATTTTTTTATATTTTTTATGTGTATACTGTATGTTGTCGCCAATAAAGTCTGCTTGGCGAGATTTGCGCCGGCGAAACGGAAAAGTACCAATATTTGTTTGACTATCATTACAAATTATATGTACTGTCCTGTTTATAAATTATTATAATGTAAATCATTTTATTTAGGAAAAAAAAAACTTACATAACTGTCATTTGCAATTTTACAGCCTGTTCTGTTAAATATAAAGCATGTAAAACCAGGCATACTTAAACACATATCTGATACACTCAGGGATTGGTTGTTGTCACCTGTGCTCTCAAAATTTAACCAAAATACTGAAGTTTTACCTTATGTTGAAACCAGGTATCTAGATAATCAGAAAGTACTGAATATTTTTTACACCATCTTTAACTAACAATTATTATATTTCTTTCTTATTTAATGTATTAAACATATTTGTTCTGCTTCAATGGGAAACAAATGTTAATTTTTAGCTTTACACATATGTCTTAATATGTCAATTTTCTCTCTTTTCAGAGATGGGTGTTACTGGGCTTTGGCCCCTTTTGAGTGAACTTGCTGAAAAAAAGCCTCTTTCTTATTTAAATGGCAAAAGAGTTGCAGTTGATTTAAGTGGCTGGGTTGTTGAAGCTGCTCGATGTAATGGATTGAAAACAGCCAAAAATCCTCATTTAAGGCAAGAATGGAATTTTTATTTGTTTTGTAATTTTTTTTTTAAAGCACAGGTATTTTTGAAGTTTCAAAAATTAAGATTTTTCAAATAAGTTTCAAATTGTATCAGATTGAGTTTCTTCCAGGGCACTCAAAGAAATAAACAATGATGTATCCACACACTGGAAAATCAACTGGAATTCATCAGCAACATCTTTAAGCCACTGCAACACAATTCTAGCCATATGTTGAAAGAAGCCCATTTAAGTATAGCTTGGTCAAATACAGTTCTTCACTATACCTTAAGCTCATTACATACATTTTATATACGTTTAATGAATTTATTTGTATGTGAGAAAAAGATGGAGAGATCACTGCTAAACTGTATAACTGTATGAAAGTGAATGGGTAAATTCCACAGTTGCAGATATATCAAAAGTGCAGTTTAAAGAATTGGTTATTCAGAAGTAAGGGTGTTTGGAAAGACTTTTTTGTTAACTATGCTGCAATGTGACTTGATCTGTTTTATAATTACTTGATTAATAATTCAGATTTTGAAGAACTTTGGAGTGCTATTAAACTAATTCTGATTTTGTCACATTGCATTCCTACTGTAGAAAGTGGTTTCTCAGTTAATAATGATATGTTGGTGGAAAACCTTCAGGAAAATTCTTTAGCAGCAGTGCAAAAATATTTATGATGCCACAAAAGTAAATGAAGATGGGATAAATATTAATATAACTCCTGATATATTATGGCTGTGCCAGATCTGCTTGTGGCACATATCATCAAGCACTCAAAGACAAAAGCCATCTGATAGTGAAGATTAAAAAAAAAAAATTATTGAACAAAAGGAATGCACAAGCACGGATAAAAATTTTGCAGTCAAAAAAGTAAAAATTGGCGGGAGGTGTTTCTTCGACTGACTTGCAAATTACAGAATTAAAACAACAGATCTAGTTTTGTGCTTTTTTTTTTTTTTTTTTTTTTTTTTTTTTTTGTTGTTGTTGTTGTTAGCATTTTTTTTCTATAAAATTTTATTTAAATGTTCTAATTTTTTTCCTTCAACTCTGATCAAAAATTACATTTAATTTGTATGATATATGCTTATATTAATTTTTTTATGAAAATTCTGTTGAGTTCTTAAAAGAAAGCTGTTTTTTTTTTAACCTTTCAGAATTTAGCAACTGTTGTAATATTACATAATAATCTCTAATATTAGAGATGCAATTGTTCAGCAGTTATACAGTGGATGGACAAAAATATGGAAACACTTGTGAAATGCATGTTTGAAAAGAAAGATTAATTTTAATAAAATATGTAGGTGGCGCTGGCGTTTTTGACTACTGACGCCACCTATACAACTTCGTAAATGTGCTAAACAGTTCAGTTGTTGTCGGAGTACTGTTATGTGAGGTTGTCATTGCATTATGTCAGAGTTAACAGACTTCGAACGTGGGCAAATTGTTGGAGCACGTATGGTAGGTGCTTCCGTAAGCAAGGTAGCCGAGGTGTTTCAAGAGGTACTGTATCGAAGATTTATTCCGCATATTTGAAAAGCGGAAAAACATCATCTGCTAAATCACAGCGCGGACGAAAGTGTGTCCTGAGTGATCCTGACAGACGATCATTAAGGGCAATTGTGACGAAAAATAAGAAGACCACAACTGCAAAAGTTACTGCTGAAATGAATGCTGTGTTACCGAACCCTGTGAGTACCAAAATAATTAGAAGGGAGCTTCATAAACAGGGAATTGCTGGCCGTGCTGCAATCGAGAAGCCACTCATCAGTGATGCTAATACCCGTAACAGGAAAAGGTGGTGTTTAAGTCATAAAGCCTGGACTATAGAGCAGTGGAAGCGAGTAATATGGTCTGGCGAGTCTTCTTTCACATTGTTTCCCACTTCTGGCCGAGTTTACGTTTGGAGAACACCATCTCAAGCCTATAATACAGACTGCTTGTTGCGAAGAGGGAAACATGGCGGGGGTTCTGTTATGGTTTAGGCAGCCATATCGTGGTTCTCTGCTAGTCCCATGATAATTGTGTCAGGGCACATGACTGCCAAGACTTATGTGAACATTTTGGCCGATCAAGTTCATCCCATGGTACAAACTTTGTTTCCCGATGGTGATGGTGTCTTCCAAGACGACAAAGCCCCTGTTCACACAGCTCACATTGTCCAGGACTGGTTTTCTGAGCACGAGGATGAGTTGTCCCATCTCCCCTGGCCACCACAGTCACCAGACCTGAATATTATCGAACCTTTGTGGTCTACATTGGAACGGAAAGTGCGGTCTCGTTGTCCACCGCCAACATCGTTATCTGAACTTGCCACCGTTTTGCAGGAAGAATGGTATAATATTCCCTTGGCAAACATACAGGAACTGTATTTATCCATTCCGAGAAGACTGCAAGCTGTTTTGGATGCCAACGGGTTTCCTACACCATATTAAGCAAAGAAACATGTTTTTTTAAAGGTGTTTCCATATTTTTGTCCAACCCCTGTATATTGTGTAATGGGATAGATATAGCTGCTTCCCCGTTGTCATTTTGTGAATAATAACTTCCATTCCAGAATTTATTTCAGGGTTCGTAGCCGTCCTTACAAGTGCTTATAAGTCCTTATATTTGAAAATAAAATATAAAGGCCCTTATAGGTGCTTACTTTTTCTTTAAAGCCCTTATTTTTTTTGTTTTTAGTGCTTTTATTTTAATCCTTTGTTTTTAATGAAAGCGCTATTTTCCCCCGTACCAAAGCCGAAACTAAATAAACAACTTTTCTTCCTAATATGGAATGTCAGATGGTGAGTCATACTCCCAGAAATAGCTTTTCCCCCCTTTCTCTGCATTAACATAACCTTTGGTGTGCACGAAGAGTACAGACAGGTGCCCATCCTTCTATTGGTCAAAGAACTGCAAAAGCAGTAGAAAATTCCGCTACATTCGGCATTCTTTTCCTCCCACCCAAATACTATACACGTTTGAATTTCTATCAAGATCTTAAAAATTTGCATTCTCGTTCTGCTTGGTCAGTTCATATTCGTGTTTATTATGATCGTTATGCTTATATTATGAGCATATGTATGAATGTTTATAATAACATAGTTGCAATAACTGCTGAAGTATAGATAAACTTCCAAAAATGGGTGTGTTTTTACACAGATTAGCTTTCTAAGGAATAATATTCGGAATGGCTTAAATAAAAGGAAAGTAATCGAATAGTCAAAATAATTTCATTTTCTTTGCCAATACATTATACAGTACGGAGGTTGGGAGTTTCTCCGTAAAATCTCTGATATTGAAGCAGCGGACTTTTTTTTTTTGTCACTGTCCAATCTGGATTGAATAGGACTAAAAGTTTTTGCGGTCTACCCAACCCAAGCAAAGATTGATTCTATTCCAGAAATTTAATACAGTCTGGTGAAAATTAGAATCAGAAACACCCCAGATTAGTAAGTCTCTTTCTTTTCCTTTATTTAGTTCTTTCTCCGAATACCGGCAGGTGTTGATTCCGATTGCGTAATATCACATATGGAAGAATTACGCCGCACGTATTGCGCAATAACGTTTGCGGTATTTTGCATTGGTAATTAATTTTGATGTTCAGTCTGAGATTTGTTTATGAACACTTAAAAGAGTTTTAGGTAAAATCCTAGTATACGGTGCAGCCTTGGCGCGACTTTGAAAATTATCGCCAACACCAAAAATGATCCAAAAGAACGTCTATATATATACTACACACTATATACTATGTGTGTATATAACATAGTATATGCTATGTTTAACTATATATTTTCTTTGAAAGACCCGTTAACTACTCATCGTATATGTCCCGTTTTTACTGCTCATCATAAAGTCGCCAAAAGTAGCCAAATCCCGTGTGCACCGGATACTAGGATTAAACCGAGTTTTACTGTGCTTTCTAAGCAGAATATTTCTCACTTCCATTGGTTTTTATATGATGCACATATCGAAATGTCAAAATCATTTATTTAACCTAAATTTAAATCTAAAGAACGGCTACAATCTCCCCCACTCCTCTTTTTCCGGATAGTAACTGGACTACTACTCCAGTACTTTCCAGTTACTATCCGGAAAATTCGGGAATTTCCGAGTATGCTGGTTAGTTAAGCTTTTACTGTTAAAGGATGACTAAATGAAGCAATTTCCCATCTTCTGATTTCAGAAATGTGCCTCTTTTTTACTTAAATTACTTTGCTTGGGATATATGTTAAGGGAAAACTGTTATGCAATGAAAATTTAGAAAATGTTCAGAATTTTGATTTAAGTTAAATTATTTAAATATTAATAAGAGTGGAAAAATAAATTGTATTTATTATTAGTTGCCAAACGAATACAATTAAATATGGCTTATTATTATTTATTTTCTATATTTTCAACTGAAATTCATCATTAAATTCTTGTAATATAGTTTAGTTCTGCATAGTTTTTTTTTTTCCCTCTCATTGTAAACTAATTCTGTAAATTGAACTGTCATTTAAAATTTAAAAAAAAAAAAAAGTTAATTGTTTTCCATGGTTGAGGTAATGCTCATTCTCTTAATAAATATTGCATTGCTCATATTTTAAATTAAAGTCTAATTTTTTCTTTTAAGGTTATGCAGTTGTGTATATTGTAATTAGACAGGTGCTTATTTTTTTTCTTAAAATGTGCTTGAAAAGTGCTTATTTTTTTAACTAAAATGTGGCTATGAACCCTGTATTTGTAATACTTTTTTAAAACAATAAAGTTGTCATTCAGGATATAAATTTATCACAGTTAATGGTGGAAAAAATGCAGTGTTTAAGAGTTTATACATAACATTGAAAAATCAAAGAATTTCATATCTCATTTTGTTTATTACTTGTTAGAATTGCAAGTATTTAATTTCTTTGTAAACATATGTCTTTAAGCATGTAAAATTAATTTTTAAGGTTTGCTTTTAATTAATTATATTTGTTCTGACATTTTATGTTAAATGCATTTCATTATCAATGGCTGCAAATATTTCAAATGTACTAACAGTCGCTTCTGGTAATATGTACTCTTTTCATGTAATTAAAAGGGGAACTTTTTTGGACTTGACTAATTTTGTCAAATTCATTGTTGAAGAGAATGTTGTTTCAGTATATATTATATAGCAAGATTTTGTAGTTTGGCAAAAACTTAATTTGAAAGTTTCTGAGGAGAACAACTTCTATTATAGTTGTAATAGTAATGCTTTAGGGACATAAAAATAAGAAATTTTTGGGTTGATCTTTACATTATGGTAACTTGGCGTTTTTTTGGCGACCAACTCTCCTACAGCAACCCTCTATTTTTTTTTTCCCGCCGCCATTTTGTCTTCACGAAGTAAAGACATGTTTCTTTTCTTTTTATCTACTGAACACTTCTTCCAACAATCTACTAGCCGAATTACACTTATGCTAGAAATTTTATCTAACAAAACTGCTTAATCATGACAAATATTCACTGCAAAATTGGGAAAAAGTGCACAATACCATACTCCTTACGCGTTTTTCAAAATAACACATACACATAAACCATGTACACGCCGACTTATTTTTACTTAAAAAAACATCCCAGAATTGCACAAAAATGGCATTGCGCACACTCTTCACTATATCCATGTACACTGCTTTTTTCTCATAAATTAGAAAAATTTCACGAAAATACATGACAATTTTCTCAATCTTTAAACCCGGTAAAAAGAACATATATGAAATTACCTGATCGCGAAAAAGTATTTACCCTTTCCAAATATGAACATTTCCACATATAAAATAAATAAAATATCCAAAAACTTTTACCTCTAAATCATCTATTACATTATACACGTCACCAACGAATTCATACCGCAAGCATTACAAATACTTAGTATCAAATATTTAAATTATTTCCATGCACGTTTACTTCAACTTAAACGTATACCAAATTCCTACAAACATAAAATTCACAAAATAACTATCATTTAATTAAAATATCACTAAACCATGTACACACGTCGACTTATTTTTACTACTTAAAAAAACATCCCAGAATTGCACAAAAATGGCATTGCGCACACTCTTCACTATATCCATGTACACTGCTTTTTTCTCATAAATTAGAAAAATTTCACGAAAATACATGACAATTTTCTCAATCTTTAAACCCGGTAAAAAGAACATATATGAAATTACCTGATCGCGAAAAAGTATATACCCTTTCCAAATATGAACATTTCCACATATAAAATAAATAAAATATCCAAAAACTTTTACCTCTAAATCATCTATTATATTACAACACGTCACCAACTAATTCATACCGCAACATTACAAATGGTTACAAATACTTAGTGTCAAATATTTAAATTATTTCCATGCACGTTTAAGCAAATTACTTTACTTCCACCTTACATTTAGAACAATGCATAAAAATAATATCCTCAAATAATTAAAAATACTAACTTACCTATTCTTCTTCAGAATCTTCATTACGTGTCCGATAAACTTTTCTTATTTCTGTTTCAGGATCTTTAAAATCATACTTATAGTTCACACCAAGGTACCAGGTAAAATAAATAACTTAATAAAACATCTTTACTTTTATCTCGCACAACCTTAAAGAAACACTTATTACTACCCCTTTCAATCCCACTAAATACCCATTTCGAATTCACTTTAGTTAGGGCCATGGGATCCAAAAATTAACGAACACTGTTTCACACAACACAGAATAAAGCCAAATACAAAATTTCCAGATTTTTTTCCCGATTTCCCCCCTTTTCCGATTAAAGAACCGTAATTCGTCCATTAATATCACATGACATATCCCATGATCTCTCATTTCCCTCACACAAAATAATGCGTAATCGGAAGTGAGTACTGCTCACATTATTACCAAAGTCCCAGGTAGTAACCTTTATCGCCTCCAAAATGTCGCCAAACTACCAGTTACCATATTCTAAAGATCAGCCAATTTTTGTATTTTTAAGTGGAGGTGAAAATGGTGCTGTGCTGAGAGTAAATATATAATTTATCCTGAGCATAGCCAGTGCACACTGTATGGCTAGACTAAAATTTTCTTAAAACACGCTAGGTAAAGTCAGGGAATTTTGTTATCTTGTTTAAATGACAACCCTGTCTATAGGAACTACAGGTCCTATGGATGCCTGGGGAAATTTCTCTCAAAGCATAATTACTTCCACCTCTGCTCTGGTCATGGTGGCACATGTATTGATCAACTTTGTCAGAAAGATGATATGCTTTATCCTCAGTATGTAAAAAAATGATCAGGTGGATTTTTCCATTGTTTCATGGCCTATATTCACGTGTCCTCTATAGCAGGATTTTTTAAACTGTGGGTCATGACCCCCTTGGGGGTCATAGGACCTGCAGCAGTAGGTCGCCAAAAATTTTAGCAGATGTAGTATTTCTTTAACTTATTATAACAATTTTACAATTACCAAATATTTTACACAATGTATCTAAAAATAGATAAAGATAAGACAATACAAAGAAAAAAAAAAATGAAAATGTTTCGACACATTCTTTTTATAATATAAATGCTCATTTTCCTTGCTTTGCATGTGACATTGTCATTTCATCTGTTACTTATTTAAATTTTTCACATTGTTGTGTGGTCATCTACCCAAGTGCTAAGCCCGGAATGCTGCATATTTTTTGGGGTGGAAGAAATAAAAAAATTTTATGGGATATTCCGATAAAAGTAGGTTAAATTGATGTCTATTTCTAGGAGCTGGTATTTAAAATTGCTTGAATAATTTACCTCTGGATTGGTGATAGTTATAGTTTTAATTTATTGATGAATGATGCCAGACTTTGAAGTTTAAGGTCTCTGCGTGGCTGTTCATTATGAATGAACCAGAGTTCTCCTGTGAATTTTCATAAATAGTTGTTTTAGGAAATTTGCATTTTATTTAATCCAGTGGTGGGAGGCATATATAAAGATGGGTCTTAATAGTGATGTGTAAATTAGCTTCTTGCAAGCAAGATCCAGTGGTTGAGGAGGCATCAAGAATATTTTGGAGCTTCCTAGAGACCCTCATGGCTTTCCTGATTTCCATAGAAATGTGAGGTCCTCGTGTAAGAGAGCTGTTAAAACAAACTCCCAATTATGTAGCTTGTCTGACTTTAGGTACTGTTTCATGGTTTTACTGTTTGTAAATGCTACAGAGTTTCATTAATGAAATTACCAGGCAGATGTCTAATCATTGAATTAGAGATTTTGTCCTTCCCAGGTGCTTTTCTATTATGAAGTTTAACTATAATGGAGGTGACCAAAATAATTCAAATCAACAACATTACTCATTACACATACATTTAGTTGATAAAAGAACTCTTCAGTACCCTCAATAACAATTAAATAAAGTCTCTTCCTTAACATGTGCCATCTACATCATTCCTGAAAATGTAGTCTTATAGTGTGCATAGGGTCATTATGTTTTGACTCATCAGTGTATTGTCAGCCATTAATCTTTTTTTAGTGCTACTCAAGTCATGTTTAGAATTTGTGTATCATTGTGAAATCTTTTAAAGCTTCTGTGTATGCATATATAAACTTCCAAAAAGTCTTTAACCTGAAGTATGCATTGAAATAGTATATTAACTATCAAAATTTCCTTAGTAAACCCATATATTTTGCTTTTTTTCTGTTCAAAATTTCTACTAATAATAATTAGTTTTTATGCAGCATATGTTATTTGCATAGTTATTTTATTTCTTGTAAGTATTTTCAGTCTTCATTTCTCTCCAAGTCATATTTTATATTTATGCATTGCTTATATCAGTATAATGTAATACAAAAAGAACTTTTTGAATTCTATAATGCTATATGATATGTAGAATTTACAATTTTTACTGAATTATTTTACCTGTATTTTATAGAAATTTGTTTTTTCGTGTATCCCGCCTTCTGCGAAATGGTGCACATCCAGTATTCATTTTGGAAGGTAATGCACCATTTCTTAAAGGAGATGCTATTAAACAAAGACAGCCTCATCCACACAAACATTTTTCTAACTCAGAACATGTGTCAAGAGGAATGTTTGACAGGGTTCTGGAACAAGTAATTTAAATTTTAGGCTATATTTTCTCAAGTTAATGATTTATGGCAAAATTAATATTTCAGAATTTGACAAAAATTATTTATTAACCATTGTTACCAATTATTGTTGTGTTTTTATTTGAAACATCAGATAATGTGTGCATGTATTATATACAGTTAGTAATATTTTTTATTGATATCATTGCATGTAAAATATTTTTTGAGAACAATTATCTAAAATGGGTCAGTGCATAACAATGTATATGTATAAAAATAAATCTTTCAATGATTTATGTAAACTGAAAATTGTTTTCTGAACAAACTGGCAGCATATCCCAGTTATTTAATAAATGGTATTAGATGAGCGAGTGTATTTTTTTGAATGCCTATTAGCAAGGAGACAAAATAGAGGAAGGGGTTGTATACCCATAAAAAATTAAGCTACATTAAAAAACTTGACTTACATTTAGTGGTTATATTTAATGTTGTGATTTGACCAAAATTCCTTCAGAGTAGAAAGAATGTACCAACCTTGTGTACCAACCTTAGCAACACTTGCTGAAGTTTTCTAGAACTATGGGTTTTTTGCTTTCCGAATATAAATTAATGTTATTTCTCATTGTTATGATTCTTCAAAGGCTTTGTTTACCAAGAAAATATTCAGATGCTGTTTGAAGTGAAAGCCATAATGATTCAGCTGCTGGCATTCCTTAGAAATCTTTCTATGTAGTAGCTGGTTATGTTATTTTAGATATCCAGTATGTCATAAATATATACAGGATGTGTATATGAAATACATGTTGTAACCCAGATTATCTTTGTTTTGCTGTACCATTCCACATTTTGAAATTGAATATACCGTAATTTCTGAAAGAAAGGCCATATCAGTGTAAACGCCGCACTTGAGAAGAATGGCAGGAAAAAAATTAAAATTACACAAAAATGCAGCATCGGCGTAAATGCTGCAATAGAATAAATTGCGCGTGACATCGTCCTGGGCTGTATAGATGCAAAATCTCAACCTAAGTCCTGATATATGACATACCAGTTAAGAAAAATGCATGAAATGAAACCATAACTCAAAAATAAATTAAAGATAAGAAATGTGGAAAATATATTTACCTTCACATATATACTTATATTTACCCACTAAAGAAGTCCATATTTGTAATACTCAGGCTATATTATAAAAAATGTTGCAACAATGAAATATTAAATTTGGATGACAAAAGGAAATTTTAAATTTTACTTACAAAAGGAATTACAGCAAACTATACATCATATGAAGCCATCAAAATCTGATTCTTCACTATCTGAATTAAAAAGATTTAGTAAATCCTGATCTAAGTCCAAGTCTTCCAGATCGTCACATTCATCCTCTTGGTTTACAGTCTCTTTATCTAAGGATATAATTTCAGCTTCTTTGAACCCTGCTATTATTGACGATGTTTTTACCGATTTCCACGCACTTCCTACCCGCTTTGCAACTTCATAAGATGCTCTATGCATTTACCGCTTTTTGGTATACATATGCAATCCTTCACTCATTGAACACTCCCGCTTTCGGACTTCAGCTTTGAAGGATTTATTACCTGACAAATCTAACGGTTGTGTAATATTTTTGTCAAACCACCAGGAATTATTGCTTCGGTCATAGACAATTTTTGACATCTGGTTTTCACTGACTCAAAGAAATGAGCATGCATAGAATCCATTATCAATAACCCCTTTAGTTGGAAAAAATATCCCATACGACACTGCTAAACTTTTTGTAGCCACTCATGCATGATTGTTTCGCACATCTAGCCATTCTCATTTGCACAAATAATTACGTCATTAGGAAAATCTCCCTTTGGAATAGTCTTTTGTTTAAAAATGATCATCGGCTTTAGCTTGTCACCGTTTGCCCCACAAGCTACCACACACGTAAATGACGTTCTTTCATGCCTCGTCGTAAGCATAGATATAGTTTTTGCACCAGTTTCATCAACAGTTCTGTTTGCAGAAGAGTCGAAAGCTAACGGTGTTTCATCCATATTTATTATCTGTGACCGAAGAAGTTTTTTATCAATAATATCTGTCACATATTTTAGAAAAGATGACTTTTAGAAAAGATATCCTGCCAGTCCATTGGTAATTGTTACCCGACTGTTGTTCTAGTATGCACAGAAGTATTTTTTCTTTTCATAAATCTGCTACACCTCCATTGAAATTATTTATGTTCATTCGTTTTGCTATAAATTTTGCTTGTAAGCAAATTTTTACAGTCAAAATTGCCATTCCCTTTCCTCGTTGCTCCTTTATCCAGTTTGCAAGGTCGTCCTCTAGATTTGGCCACCTTACATGTGGCATATTTTTAAGAAGTTCTTTTTCAGTTCTCCAGTGTCGAATACATCTCTCATCCACTTCAAACTCTCGAGCTGCTGCTCGATTTCCAATTTGTTCAGCACGTGAAATTAAATTAAGCTTAAAACCAGCAGTATAGCTTCTGTGCCGTTTAGGTGACATTTTCAAAATTTTCCGCTCCCTTCTTTCTTAAAAACCATCCAACAAGTACTTATACCCAAACTGATGGGATCTGTATCTGGCAGAATGCAAAGAAAAATCAATTCATGCTAAAGGGGAAATACATAAGAGTTTGTTATTGCGAGGCAGGTGGAGTCATGTCCGTCTTTCAAAAAAAATTGCAGAAAAGGCAGGGGTGGGGAGAGGATGGGTCCTGGAAGATTCATGGAATGGCAGAGGAGAGAGACTATTCAAACTAATGAGAATGTTGATTTGAAAGGGGGAAGAATGTTATTGTTCTGAGATCTCGTTTAGGGTGAATAAGGTGTGTAGGTCCATTCAAGGGAAAGAATGTAAACAAAATAACGTTCGCAAAAAGCAACTGAGTGGTCTTTTGTGTGGGAACAGCAGCAGTCTATGCACAATGACAAGGCCATCTAAACTAGTAACAATGACTATCATAGGAAATATTTTATTTTTAGTGCACCTAATAATTATTCCAGTAAATTGGCTATCTAACTAAAGTGGGCTATCTTCTGAGGGAAAGAAAATTCCTCCTCCCTTTGAGTCACTTGAGTACACATCTTGCTTTTAGACTTTTTTTTTTTTTTTTTTTTTTTTTTTTTTTTTTTTTTTTTTTTGCAATCATAGACTTTCATTTTATTGGGGGGGATTACTAAAATTTTCTGTATTTAAATCAGAGTTAACATTCGAGTAGGAAACATTTTCTGATGTTGGAACTTAATCATTCATAGAAATCACACTAGTACTAGGCTTAACAATATTACTAGAATAAATAAATATGTGACTGTCAAGAAAATTAGTCATCAGCCAAATTTCCACTAACATCCAAGTGGGCTTTTATCTCCTTGATTTGAGCACAAACCACATTGCGATGCAAGTTCACATCTTCATCTGGATTTTCCTTTAAAAATTTATCTGTAGCCGACATGAGTTTTTTTTTTTTTTTTTTTTTTTTTTTTTTTCAAAACCAACCAATTTCCTGAAAAAAGTCACACCATTTATAAAGTCTACTTCTATGTTATGTCTTTTTTGGCAGTATCCATTTAAGCCAGCACCCAGTCTGTGTTATTATCCAAATCATAATCCAGTTCCTCTGATACAATGTCCAAAAGGATTTTGCAGTCATTGTTATCCATTATGCACACACGGTCAAAAAACTTTCCAAGCACATGCTCATGCTGAGCATAACACACACAGGCAAAGGGGGGAAAGCAGGGGAAAAGCCAGCTTCCTTGAGTAACATCAAGAGGAGGGCTACATTCCAAACAGTATTGCTTTGTGTATGGTGGAATTACAAGTGAATTGTGCCCTTTGAATTGTTGTGATCAAATTAAATAATAAATTCTGAAAATTTCTGTTCTCATATTGCAGTTTTAAAAGCAGAAATTGAAGCAAAGCACCTAGAACTGACCAGTTGTATAGATGTTGTTGTCCTTCATATCAGTGCTTGCCCCACATTTCGATAAATATCAGAGATTATTTTGAGTATATTAAGTCTCTTCAATTCACTTGAGAATTCTCTGAATGTCCTCGAGTTTACTTCTTTAGACACTATCAAATAGTCACGATGTCTTTACGAATAAATCGAGTGACTTTTATCAAAAAAGGAATTTTCCAACTGCCAGAGAGTACAAAAAATCAAGAAACAAAATACTACTTATGCGATTCAATGAATCTATGTGTATGTGTATATATTTTTGTGTTGCTTCATTTTTATTCATCATCAAAAACCAATAGAACATCTTGCATGACCCTATATTTGAAAGATGACTAAGCTTCTTAAACTTTGCTCATTTTTAGCAATATTTTTCTTTTCTGCCTGTAGAGTAGACTATAAGGATTAATTTTTTATATAATTTAAATTACTCAACATAATTATATTTTAAATTTAAACTGAGAGTAAACTTTTAGCTAAAAATTGACACTTTGTGCCATAATAAATGTAGACAACTGCAATGCTGGTAAACTAATATTCAAATCCTGGTTAAGGCATGGCTGTTTCTGCTCTTAGCCAGCCATTTGCAATTACTGTCCGGTCTCCTGCTTGTGATGCATCCTGGAAAGCAGTCTAGTCTTTTCGTTTTGTCTGTTTAATTAACAAGTGCTGACCTGAAATTTACTGAACTAAATTTCAGTTACGTGCAAACTAAATTTCAGTTGTAATTTTTTCCTGTCCTACATTAACTTAAATTTTCTTCAAACACTTATGAAATTTTCAGATTCAAATTTATTTAATATGAAAAGGCTTATTTTATTTAATGTGTTCTTGCTCAAACAAAACTTAACAGATTATTATTTTCTTTACAGTGTGAACAGTTACTCAGATCACTGGGTGTTCCTTGTCTTAAGAGCTCAGGTGAAGCTGAAGCATTATGTGCATATTTATGTTTGAAAGGGGTAAACTGTGTTTTTATGTAACATTTCTAATATTTGTATAGCTTTGAATTAATATTTATGTGTATAGCTCATACACAGATAATAAAATGATTAAAAAATCAAGGTCTTAGTACCTGTTCACAACTCACAATCACCCATTGAGTGTTCAAATCAGTAGTTGGTCGAACCGCCCTTGGTAGCAATACATGCTTGAATTCGTCGAGGCAAGGTGTGGTAGAGGTTCCTATGTCATTCTGCGACACATTCTACTCATCAGTTGTCGCTCCAGATCTGCAATATTTTGTGGTGCCCGAATCTGGCGCCCTACCATGTCCCAGACATGCTCAATTGGTGAAAGGTTTGGTGACCTTGCTGGCCAAGGAGAAGTACCAGCTGCACGGACACAGTCCAAAGATATGCGAGTGGTATGTGGCCTGGCATATCTTGTTGGAAAATGGCCCTAGGATGACGTGCCATGAAAGGTAATGCAACCGGCCGCGGGATGGTATCAACATATCGTTGAGCTACTAAAGATGATCTGCTGTCATAAGAAATAGTACCCCACACCATCACACCAGGTGTTATAGCTGTATGCCTTTGTAAAACAAAGGCTAATTGGCACCACTGGCCCCGTCCTCTCCAAGCATGAACATGGTGGTCATATGCTTCAAGAGGGAAGCGGGATTTATTGTTAAACACTATTTGATGCTAGTCTGATGGCAGCCATAATGATCGGCTGTGACCCCACTCCAGACGACTATGCCGATGTTGTGGGGTCAAAGGCCTCTGTGAGTGTAACCCAACCTCAGAAATGCACTGTGAGATGATGGATGGTACCACGAGAGGTATAGACGTGGCTGTAGTGCATTGAATAGTCGACAGTGATACCGTTGGGGCGGTTTGGGCCTGGCGAACAATAATCCTATCTTGCCTTGCATTTGTGCTTCTTGGCCTTCCAGAGCCTTCATTTTGTCAGAAATTTCCTTGTAGCAATTATTGCTGCCAACATCTTCACACAGCAAATTACAATGGCAGCAACAAAAAAAGATAAATGTTCCACCTCTGTTACTGGTTTTATACTTTGCGAATTGCAAATGCACTAGAAATGCATGCTATGATGGCAATTCCTGTTCATGTGCCTTGAAACTTTAATCATTTGCATGTTCGATATCCAATATGTTGAACTTTTGTGTTTTTGGTCATAAAAACACTAATAGATGTTCAAACAGATGTTAGAGTATATCCATTTATTGTGGAAGAAGGGGAAGGAAGAATTATTTTTGACATCAGCATTCTGGGTTACTCATCTGATGCAGACTTTTAACATCCTCAATTTTTCATACCCGAATTTTTTCCACTTATTCAACACTAGTGTTTATTTCCAAAGTCCTCTGAGAAAGTGTTCACTCATTTGTTTTCCATTGCATGTTCTTTGAATAATGAACATTTCATCAGTAGTCACATCCATACTACAGCTTAGTCTGGACTATCTTCAAGTGATGCTTTCCCCTGCCTAAGCTTGTTAGCCTACTTTCTGACAGGGTGTACAGAATACTGTACTGTATTGTCATAGATCAGCATTTCTTAATATTTTTGATAAGTCCTCATTAATGGTCACTTTTATCATGAAACTCCTGGTTTGCTTCAATAGTGTGGTTTTACAACAACATTCTGCAAATGGTTATTTGCAACAAAGACAATTATTTCAAATAATATTTATTTCCTCCGAAAAGTAATTTCAAAATTAATGCAAAAGTTTATTAAATAATTTTAAATACCCTATTCAAACAAGACTTTTAAATCTAAATTTTAATGAGATGAATGGTACTGCTTTTCGTTATTGCAGATATTTTAATATTAGGCTTTATGGATGAAATTAAATTCTTCTGTCATGTTCAGCATCATGTCTGTTGCGGTATTTTTTTTTTTTTTTTTTTTTTTTTTTTTTTTTTTTTTTTTTTTTTTTTTTTGACACATAAAGCTGAAAACAGCATTTTGTGCAGTTGCAATTGGTAAAAGTGTCAACATTGCCCGTTTTGGCAAGTTAAGATTTCATCCTTTAAACTGCACTAGAATGAATTCCTTTAATGCCATTAATTTAAATTTTCATTGAAACAATGAATCAGATGTCATTTAAACAAAAAGTACGTATTTTTCTGGTAACATTGATGAAGCTCATGCATTGCCAATAAATGGGCTTTTAATCCACAATTCATTTGATATTAAGCTTCACTCAAACCTTTCAGGTACTGAATAATTTTTTCAATAAAGGTCTCTACTATTTCAACCTTTCATTTTCTGAGAAGCCTTTTATTGTTGGGAAGCAAGTCATTTGAGTGCACAGAAATTGTCCAAGTTCTATCCTTTTGTGGAATGCAAGAATTTTTTTGTAAGCAGTTTAAATACATGTATTTGTTTGTATTATTTTTCTTTGAGTATTTTAGTATTTTTGCTTGAGACAACGATTTGACTTAAATATATAAAGAAAGAGATACATGTACACAGGGTTGCCACGTTACCTGAAAAACTGGGAAAAGTCAGGGAATTCGAAAAGTTACCAAAAAATGTCAGGGGCATTTGAATATTTTAGTCAAAATCTGCAAAAGTCAGAGAATTTCATACGGCAGTCTCCCAAAAAGCGATTTTTGCGCCAGCGTTGGAACCAATCACTTTCTTCGTGAATTATGTATCGTGTGAACATCATTCGGCAGCTCCAATCAGATTGTCTTTTAGAAAGACAAAGCAAGTTTCCAGTAACCTTGAGAATCAAGAGACTCGCATGTTCAAAGCATGTTGAATGAAAGAAAAAATACCTTTCCATTCTCATATAAAACGAAATCGGTTTGATCCTAGTGTATGGTGGACATGGGATTTGGTGTCATTATGATGAGCAGTAAACCGGATATTTAAGATGAGCAGTAAACAAATCATTTTGGTGTAGGCTACAATTTTCAAAATCATGCCAAGGATACTAGGATTTTACCACAAAATTTGTAAGCCCCACCCACTTTTTTTTTTTTTTTTTTTTTAATAATAAATACTTTATTTCTCATTTTGCGGTAAAATAAAAAATAAGTAATAATTCATCTAAGCTAATTATTTAATATAACTATATTTGCCAAATAATCGTTGATTATTGTAATTCAATTTTAGTGTTTAATTAATCAACATTATTCTAATGTTATTTGTATCATTTAATGTGGCTTTTTCCTTCTAAATTTATTTATTATTAGTTAATAATACTTTCAAATTCCAGGCAATTTTCTCTGGCATTCTCCTAAAACTAATTCTAGCAGTATGATGACATACCATGACAAAATTTAATGCACATATTTTTTGCTTAGGTATGCTGCTAAATAAATGTAAATACCTGAATTTATTTTAAAATATCATTAAAGAGATTTCTTTCTTTTGTTTAGCTGCAAAATGTCTCCGAAAAATACATTTTTTAATCCAGATTTGGCAGATTCTACTCTCAATCTTCAATTGAGAAAACAATTCCTATTATAGTTATAATAGTAATGCTTTGGCAATTATAATATATGTATAATATAATATGCAATTGCCAAATTTTTGTGTTTTCAAGTGGTATCGTAATTAATTTACCTCTTAGCACAGCTGATGCCACACTACACAGATAGACTGGAATTTTCTTAAAGTACACCTGGAAAACCTGGGGGAGTCATTCTCTTGCTTGAGTGGCAACCCTGTATACACTTCCCATGTCCTCACATAGTATTTGCAATAAATGATTGTTTAGTAGCCGAGGTTTTATAAAGTAAATGACGTTGACAACCTATAAGAGCAATCTTATAAGTGCTAAGATTGCTTACCAAGAACAATCTTAAAATTGCTGGATAATTTTTTGCAGCCAGTACTTGCCTAAGCATCATGCAAAGGTTACTAGAGCAGGTTTTGATGATGTTTTTAATAAGCTGTACATACCCATTTATTATGCCATTCATGGCCTTTGCTCCTTCAGTACAGATATTAGTGCAGTTGTCCCTTAGTATCTGTAGATGTAATCATCAAGAAATAAATGTTAGTTGGTTATATATTGGTCAATTTTTTTATGTAATTTAGATTATGATATTTGAGATGTTATGTTTTTCTTCTAGTGTTATGGAAGAGTATGTGTAATGTGATGTTATAATAACCAATAAAGTTTATCAATAAGGAAAAATAATTAAAGTGAAAAAAATCTTTGAATCAATTTATATTTTATAAGACATACATCAACAGGTGACAGAAGATGGGGACATCAGTCCTTGCCATCACATTTGACAGTTAGACAGATGTAGTCTGATGCTTCCTGCTGTGCTAGAATCTGCTTCAAACTGTGGTTTGCAGTAATAGTTTGTGATATACTATTGAAAAAAAAAAAGAAAAAAAAGAGGATATTTCTATGGGGGTGTAATGTGCGACTGTACAAAAGGCAAAACTAAGTGACATCACACAGATGCAACCTGTCTGCTGCCATGATAGCCTTGATTTTTGTGATGCTTTTTGTTTGAAGATATAGCATTGGTACGGGATTCTGTCATCTGTACCGTCCAGAAATCTGAGTTGGTGGTTGTATGTCAGTGAGCAGCTTGTCAGGTAATGTTTGAGAGTTCCTGTGCTACCACAGATGCACTTGTCCATATTGCTTAGGTATTGTTTTTTAAAAAAGACTGGAAATGAGCCATGGTCTGATCCTTTATCCAAAGGAGGTGGAAATTAAGGTGTCTGAAGCACCATAAGTAGTTTTGAATATTTCTGATGATATGAGAACTGTGGACAGGATTTAGGATGGCATGTAGCACTGAGATGCTGTCACTGTAAAAACTGGCATTGTAGTGTCCACTGTTTACTGCATGAGTTATTGCCATTGCTAGTGAGTGCAGTTCTACCTGGAAGCTGCTATTCTTGGGTGAAAAAAATGTGCTTTCCATGTGTTGAATTCTTTTTTGTGAGTGTACTGAAAAGGCATAGCCAGTTTTATTATCTTGGCCTCAACCATCAGTGTAATACTGAAATTT